GACAGGCCTACAAAGTTATCATAGTGACCTTCTAAAACTATCCTTTGCTGCCGTTCAGAAATGACAGTCCGAAGATTGAGAATTTTGGCCGATCATTGGTATTGTCGGACACCACGCTTTGAGAGCTTATAACTTTCTATGCACTCTTGCTAGAGCTACAAGTTTTGTCACGCAAATAAAGGATAACTATTGCTATAATACTTTGCAGTTTCATGAGATGGCAATGTATAGTTTTCCTAAAACAAGTGTCCGAAAATTGATGGTGTACGATCATTGATAATGTACTCTAGTATGCTGAAAAGAATAGGAATGTGCTTGGTACTAATATTCATTGTTAATATTCTCTACACTGGTCTCTCAGTAATTGGTAATTATCATTTTGGACAAATGTTTCACTGCTTGATAAAAATCAATCCATTATTCATAATCAATGGATTGTGTTTAATTATAGGAAGTGTCTAGAGCTCCGGTAACCGGACATAGTATGCAGTGCTAAAGCTCCGGTAATAGGGGCGTCGCCCCTATATACTGGGGCTACGCCCCAGTATTAATAATACACTGATTTATATTATAGAAACCGAGTATAAATACAACAACCAGCGTTGATGATGCAGCAGGGTCGTGGTGGTGCAGTGGAGAGGCTGGTGTGGATTGCACGGATATGGTTAGGGGTTCGAATCCGGTCAGGACTACCGAGTAAAACTATGCTGCAGTTTTTGATTTTTTTTTTCTTTTTTAAAAATAATCTTTTTTGCAATTTTTTTCTTTTTGGCTTTATTTGGGTCAAGAAATAGCACCCTCTCGTACATCTTAGCCTCCGGGGTCGTAGGGTTGGGATTGGGGTTTAGTGTTTAGTTTTTAGAGCACCCTCTCGTACATCTTAGCTACCGGGATCGTAGGGTTTTGGGGCTAGGGTTTAGTGTTTCTTGATAAAAAGACTAAGTTCCATTTTGCACTATTGCGCATGCGCACAAGCTGTTTTACGGAGAAAAACGGACTGCCGGAGCTCTAGCATTGCAAACTACGTCCGGTTACCGGAGCTGTAGACACAGCCTTAATTATATTATTGAAGTAATCATGTGGTATATCTTTAATGTTGTACTAGTTGAGTTTATACTTGCTCAGTGTCCTAAATCAATGAGAGGAACCATGATAGGATTGTGGTTCTGCATTTGGTTCTGGAGAGAATATACTCAATTTACTTTATTCCTTCCATTTCTTCTATACATGAGTCCAGAGGCTTCATTGGGCTGTGGATTTTATTACTTTCTTGCAAGGGCATTCTTTGTCTCACTCTGTCTAATCCTTTTCTTACTTCTTGCTAAGCGATACAAGTACATGTGAGAGAGGTTGAAATCAACATTCATCAAATTACTGAGAACCACACAATTAACAATATTGAACGAGAAGAAGAATATTGGAGGAGCAATGCAATAGAATCCTCAAGCCAGTCAACTGATATTATAACATCAGAATACTAATAACTGAATAATTAACTTATACTTTTGCATATGCTTGTATTCAATTGTGGTTTTTGCTTTCAGTAAATTCAGTTTTAAATTAAATAAGTTTTTGGCTGAAATGATCTGTCAGTAAATACATTAATGTGTGTTCACATACATATTACAAACTGCTTTTCAATCCTTTGCATAATACTGTTTATTTGCATTTATTCACTTTTACTATTGTACACACATGTACATCTTAGGCATATTCAGTAACATTAGGGGAATTCTTGTTATTAATTCCATCACTAATGTGAATGCATTATATTTTCTGGTGTCTTATCAAAACTGGCTACATACCTCAATTTGGTATGATCTAGCACACCCCATGCATCTGGATTAAGTTTTGTTTTGAATGTCATGTTTCATCAAAAACTGTAAGCATTCATTTTTAAATGCTAAAAGTTTCATTGCTAATAAAACTTTTGTCCAGCTGAAGTCGTTCAAACAAAATACGCTTCATTGCCTTCACATCTTCAGTAGCATCATGAGCAGGGAAATCTTCTTGAAATAAATGACGGTATAAGTTACCTAGCCCAAGTGATAGCTTCTTTCCCCCTTCTTTGTCTGCTTGAGGATTATTTAGCAATGGGTGTTGGTCTTTTTGTAGCTTACGCAATATTTCAAGGCTATCAGCAAAGTAGATTCCTTTTTCTAATAAATCAGAAGAGGAGACATTGATTTTCTTAAAAGCATTTACCAATATTGGAGCATCAAAACGTTTTGCATTATGAGCTACAAGTATGAGGCGTGAATTGGGATCTTTTCCATTTGAGAGTTGACAAAGATAATGATAAAACTGAGTCAAACCATCTTCATAGCTTGCAGCATCGACCTCTTCATTTCCTACCATTAAAACCCTCGCCCCATCTGTTTCTTCAACATGTATGCCTGTTACTTGGGTTGCATCATTTCCGATGTCTTGATTTGGTATTAAATACTTCGACCACATGTTATTTTGTCCAACCACCTCTGCTGCTATCTGAGTTATGTCAGAATCTTTTGCCAAGCCAGTTGTTTCAAGATCAAAAAGAATTATTATATCATTATTTGGAGCTGCAGATTCTTTGATTGGGTCCTTTATTGTGGGTTGGTCAGCTTCCATGGTTGATGGTAAACTGTTGTCTAAAGTAGCGGTAACATCCATGCTTGCTGGTAAGCTGCTGCTTTCAATTGTTTCCATTGATGCTGGTAATGAGCTGTCATCCATAGTGCTGTCTATATGAGATTCTTTTGGCTAAAAAGTGATTTTGAAAAGTTTTGTTGTCTCTGAGCTTTTCACCCCCTTTATCTATTATCAGTCACTCCACCTTCTATTGCCCACTGATGCAACTGTCTATGTAAACTAAAGGATGACTAATATGTCAGGTAGTGCTACACTAAAGACTGATAGAATTTTGATTATTTATATGGCAAAAATTTCATGTATTTCACTGCTTTCTCTCTCTCTCTCTCTCTCTCATTCTCATTGTCCTGTTACTGTCAATGATGATCACACTACAGACTGGCATCCTTTGCTTGTCAGTAGCTCATATATGTCTACAAGGGATAGCCATATAGCTATAAACACAATTTCTCACATAGATTTGTCAGTTTCATAATAATTAAAGTGTGGATTTTTATCACAAAATAAGCTATGATCTGTGGGCACAATTTTGCATGCAAACATCAATATACATTAAAATCGTATCAACACAGTGTTCACTAGTAAGGCTGAGCCTGATCAAAATTGTCTTACCAGTTATGTACAGCTCGTGTTTACTAAAAAAATTGCAAAATAAAGTGCATTAATAATCTTAATAGCAATTCCTTCTTTATACTACCATCTCTATAGGCAATATACATTGCATTCCATATAAGGGCATTAACTAGATAGTAGATTCACTGATAGTGTAAACTCTGGTCAAGAAGGAAGTAGTAATGGTTTTCTCAAGGGCTAAAACGTATGTTGTTTCTGTAATGTCTTTTCCTGTTATTATGGTCCTTGTTTGGATGTATTTGATGATGATTCAGTTTTATTTGGTCACCATATCTGTCAATCATGACACTGTAAATCTTGAAAGCATTTCCTTTAGTACGTACATACTGTTTCCTCTTATTGGACTGTTAACTGATGTATATATAGGAAGATATAGAGCAATAATGATTGGCATCAACCTTTGTTTCATATCATGGATTATAACAGGAATTTTATTTATACTAAACAGTAGCTATGGTGGGTTTATGGGGCAGATGTGGATTCTTCCTGGTTCCATAATTAATGTTATTGGTTACATTACTTTTGCTGCTAATATTATTCAATATAATGTTGATCAGTTAATTGGAGCATCAGCTAATGAATTAAGTACTATAATATACTGGAATATTGCATCTTATCCAACTGCATGGGTGCTAAGTGACTCGTTATTATTACTTGATACTGTAACTGCAGATTTACTCTTTATTATAGCAACAGGAGTAGCCCTTTCTCTTATACTGGTATCCCATTCATTATTTAAACACAAACTGGAGAACGTATCACAGATCAAGAACCCAGTCAAACTGATAGTTAGAGTATTGTGTTATGCCAGGAAGCACAAGTATCCTGAGAATCGTAGTGCTCTGACCTACTGGGAGGAAGAGGCTCCTTCAAGGCTAGACCTGGGTAAGGATAAATATGGTGGATCATTCACAGAGGAAGAGGTAGAAGATGTGAAGACATTTTTTCGTATGTTACCATTATTCATTGCTATAGTTGGATTCGGTTCTGCTCTATTTTTATGGATACCTTTAGGCAAAGCAATGAATAAGTCCTCAGTACATTATATCATATTTAAATATGATGGTGCATATCAAATTGTTGTTCTGCTCCTTTTCTTCATTTATCAGTTCATCATTCGTGGTTGTTGCCACAGGTATATACCAAGTATGCTTACTAGAATGGGTGCTGGTCTTGTTTTTGCTTTATTAGGTTGCATCACTCAATTATTAGTTCATATATTTGCTTCATATGATTTTCTACTAATAATTCGACAAATATTATTCGGGATTACATGTTTTCTTATTTATCCCACTTCACTTGAGTTTACAGTAGCACAGTCTCCAGAATACATGAGAGGAATGATGGTGGGACTGTGTTATTCATCACTGGGAATTGGAAGCATAATTGCTTTCATGTTGTTATTCTTGATTAAAAAATGGTATTACATAATTACAATAAGTTGTGTCTTCCAGTTACTTATACTTATAGCGTTTGTGATACTGGCTAAACGTTATAAGTATCGTGTGAGAGAAAATGAAGTTAACATTGTTCAGATAGTTGATGATCATTATCAGAGATACATGGAACAAGAAGATGAATATGAATATCAGAGGCACAAAGTGACTCTTGAGAATGAAACAAATTATGTTATTAATGATTGATCAAGAAGCATAAAAATTACAGACTTAAAAAGAATTTTATTTTATAGTTGTATAATTAACTACAATTAACAGTTTTTGCTCTTGGTACTCCTTATCTTTTTGTTAACTCTACTTTTAACTCTTTTAGCAATACAAATATGATGTGTATACACTATCAATATCATTTGATTATGTTATTGATGTACTTTTTGTTTATTATACTATTAACCCAAACATAATAGCCAAGCTGAAAGTAGTATAAAGTACAATTATATGTACGTACAATAAAATTAACCACATTGAAAGTTACAACAATTTAACGCCATTAAACAGTTGACATTAAAAGTGTCATGAACATATCTATTGTTTATGCAATTGCCTGGGAGCAATCTATGAAAAAGGCAACCATGCTGTGAAATATTTAAGGGCTGTAAATTTCCCAGATTTGATGGGAAATATATATTTTTAATTACTTTTTCATTTTCAAGAATCAAGAGTATCATGTTAATATAATAGCAACATTACAAATTAACAATAATAAAGATAATAATAATAATACTGACATGATCATGTTGATGATAACTATACTAAACTAGTAATGAAATAATACTAAAATATTATGCCTTGAAATTAAACAACAAAATTCAATAAACAACAAGTCGGTCATTACCAGAATCACAAATATACAAGAATCCATTTTTATCAAATGTTAATCCTTTAGGGTTTTTAAACTGATCAATATTATTGCCTTCTTTTCCAAACTTAGTAACAAACTCACCCTCACTAGTGAAGACAGAGATGCGATGATTGCCCCATTCACTAACATACACTAGACCAGTACCTACAGTATCTATTGCTATACCATATGGACTATTAAGCTTTCCAGCACCAAATGTTTTTGTACCAAACTGAGCCAAAAAATTTCCATCTGGAGAAAACTTTTGAATGCGATGATTATTGCAATCAGCTACATACACTAACCCTTGACTGTCAAGAGCAATCCCTAGCGGAAACATGAATTGTCCATTAGCTGATCCTTCACTGCCAAATGAATGAGAGAAGGTTAGATCAGAATTCAAGACTTGTATGCGATGATTACAATCAGCAATATAAACCTGTTCTGTTATAGGAGAAATAGCTATACCAGCAGGAAATTGAAATTGTAGTGATTCAGTGCCCCTTTCACCAACTGATGCTATATAGTATCCATTCATGTCAATCTTTTGAATTTTGTCTTTATCAGACAAAAGAATGAATTTGTCTGTAGTAATGGCTAAACCACGAGGGACAGAAAACTTAACATTGCCACCTCCTTCCAATGATTGCACTTTCTTTCCTTTTCTATCCAGTATTGTTACACATTTACCATTAAACTCAGTTACTGTGACATGATTATCACTTGCAGCAACTCCCCAAGGACAGTTAATCTCTGGTATAGTGTGTACTGGAGTAATGTTATCAAGGTAAGGATTGAAAGGGATGACTAGTGAGGTATCCTTAAGTTGTACATCATATACTTGTACTTTTAGTATATGAGTACCACTGGTTGAAGGGTTACACTGTATCCTATACACTCCAGGATCAGTGCTGGTAGTGACTGTAGTGTGAATAGGTTGATCACTTTTACCAACTGGTACTAGACTACACCTCAGAGAAGATACAGGAACAGACAAAAGAGATGAATCTGGTGCCTCCATTGATAATGAAAACAAAAATGTCTTCTTTTTTGGAAAGCGTTGAAAGGAGCCAACTCTCTTCACTCTACATTGCTGTAGTGCAGTAGATGAATATGTCACAATATCTCCTATGTGATGTATTGATTTGATATTATTACTCAATACAAAGTCAGCTTTTTCATTCGGATATAACTCCTCCACATTGATTTGTGCAGTAACTTCACTCATATGTTCCATCATCTGTTTCTTAGACCTCAAGACTTGTTGAGGAGTACCTGTCTTCAGACTCAGTTCCACATAATCTTCAACATCTTCAAGAAGACTCAAACTCTTTTCTGCTGCTTTGATCTGCACTGAGAGCACCTTTAGTTTAGCATCAGTGACCCTTCTTGCCTGCCCAGTCAGTTTCCTCCCTGACTGATAAAGAGTACTCATGATTTCCTCTACCATTTTGTGTATTTCTTCCAAGACTCCTTCTCCTCTCTCTCTAATCTCACTCTCTCTCTCTGATAAAGAAGATATAACCTTTTTGAGTACTTCCTTTTTTCCCACAACTGGTGATAGACATTCTCTTAACTTTTGACAGTGTTTAGTATAACTGTCAGTGATTAACTCACATTCATGATGTTTGTGATTACGAACTGAGCAGTGGGAGCAGATTACTGCATCACATGTTCCACAAAAGAACTCCAAAGGCCTTCCATGGTCAGTACATATGGGGGTCACAGCCTCTTGAGAATTTGGGGTCTTTTTAATTAAACTGTGCATGTCTTTGAGGTTGTTGATAGTGAATGCCACGGGAAAAGCTCCTGCTCCATTTTCTGGTAACTCAGTACGATGACGACAAGTGGGACAAAAAAGGTAATAGGTCTCATTGTTCTTATCCAGTGGCAATCCTTCCAGACAGTGCTGACAGAATGAATGTAGGCAAGGTAAAGTCTTAGGATTGATATAGTGGTCAAGACACACAGGACAGGTGAGCTGTTCCTCAGCCAATTTGAGGAGACCAGATCGAGACGGTTTGGTTGCCATTACAAGAGTGTCTGCCGCGGTGTCTGCAGAGAGAAAGATAAAGAAAGATAAATGTAGGAAGACAATAAGAAACAAAAAACAGAAAGGAAGAGCAATCAAGCTGTAAGTGATCTAGAAAGAATTAAAGAAGCAACAGAACTGCCGTACTTCTGTAATGCAATTAAAGCAAGTTATGATAGTAATGCATAGCAACCAGTCATGAGGAAAGGCACACGCGCACACACACACACACACACACACACACACACACACAGGAACATTTAAATTGTAGAGATGCTGGTGTGTCCTTATTACTGTAAAATAATAAGGATACCCTGAGCTAAAGACAGGTCTGGGACAGGTATATAGCTCTGAGCTCAATGGTATCTATCCTTAATGAAGAGGCTATATTGTATGTGTATTAAGGACAAGCAGATGGTTTCTTTAATAAAGAGGCTACAAATCATAACAATATCTACTCACACAGAACAGGAATGCATGTAGATGTATATACTTAATCAGGAAACTATAAGAATTAACAAATTTTAGAATTCCTTAAGCAACTCCCATGCAGTCGCAAATTGGTATTCATTATAACTCACTTTTCTATGATTCTATCACTAGTCTAAGTAGTCTGACTAGTTCCTGACACTATAGAATATTGCATGGGTCTGGCAATGCGATTCAGACATATAACCAGTGAAGATGTAACAGCTAGAGACTAAAGTACTATATAGTACAGAGGTCTAGCTAGTTATCAAAAGGAAGAACTATTTTACAGTTGTTAGGTTGACCACCCTAAATGACATGTAAGCAGTTTATTTTGGCAATTGTTAATTAAAGTTTTCCTACCAATTATTTGGTCTGTGCTCATGTTCCAAAAATAAGAATTACCAAGTGCATTTTTGTACCAAGTGAAACATGTAATTGATTCAACATGAATGCGACAATCTTAACAATAAGGGTTTGATTTTATATTAGTTTAAATAACAGTTTGTGTTCTTGGTGCTCCTTATTAATCTGTATTATTTTTTAACTACTGTACTTTTAACTATTTTAGTGATACAATATGTGTCATCAATAATAAATTATTTTATGATGTAGCTATAGTTTATGCCACTTAAAAGTTACAGTAAACTCATTCCACCCATTGATGGGGTTAAAATTTCTGTGCTAAGTTAAACATACATGCCATATGGTACAATACTAATGTACATGTAATTGTATGGTAATAATATATTAGTACGTCTCGTGTAGCCACACTCCGCCCTCCATGCCTCCGGGATAGAGGGCGGGGTCTGGCTATTCAAAACTAATATTATACTGCTTACCTATTTTTGCCTATCTTTGTATTGTTTTCAATAATTATTTTAAGTCTGTTCATAAAATTCCAAAAATTCAACATTTTTGTGTTTAGTGTCCCTTTGATACAATTGGATTTGATAAGCTATTATTATTTAATTATAAATCAATAATACATGATCATAACAATATTAAAAGTCAATATATCATGCCTTTCATTTACAAAGAACTAGTAAATACTAAAAATACATGTAAATTAGATGCACAAGTACATAACTCTATTAACTTTTGAGCTGTGAATAACAAGGCATATCTGTATGCCACTGTACAATTTGTATGCAATTAATATTAGCAATTTGTGGTTTTGTGGGGAAATTGTCAACATAAAATCCATCATTTTGATTCAATATGAGCATACTCAATGACATGTAACACATATAAAATTAACCAATAACTTTCTACAAGAAATGTGCCAAATATTTCTCTCACCAATCATCTTGTACTATTAATTATGATAATTAGCTCGTTTAGTCATTATAATATTTTGTTGCTGTGTAAATGGAGATTTGGTGACAAAAATTTCCTTTAGACTTGATGCAATGTATGTGTAACAGATTTATACATAAATTAGCCAATTTATACACAGTTGTCACTTTCCAGCCTCCACAATAGTGATTTCTTGGCCAGCCATATGTCTTGGTCCATACTCCAATACTCTTACCTTTTTCATGTTACCTGTCACAATATCAGAAGTCTAAACTATAGGCATATACAAGTGTTATACATACTTTTAGGCTAGTTTAGCTTAAACTGCTCCCAATAGTACTTAGGGGTGTCCCGATTATTCCGGAATAATTTTGGGAATAATAGGTAGCACTTCAATTCCAGAATAATGCTGGCCTAATAGGTGGATCAGTAGCCAAACTCTAATTAAAGAGCAGCAAATGCACAATTTTTGAATTTTTTAATGCCTGAGCTAGTTGTAACTCAATTTTTGAACAAAGTTCAGGTTCTGAAATTGATATAGAGACTCATATTTTGCAGTCTCTGCTGATAGTGATACTTTAAATAGCTTCTCAGACTTACTAATTTTCATTTTTATTGTAGTTAGCTCATGATTATAAAGAATAAAGTGAGAATAATGGGGCAGAATAAAAAGAATAATAGGCAAATTTTTGAAATTTTCTGAATAGAATTATAGGTAAAAAATTAGCATAATCGGGACACCCCTAATAGTACTGCAAAGCCACGTGAGAGCACATGGCTAACTTTAATAAGAAGGCGTGGCAAATAAGTTAATTATATAAATGGCGGCAGAAACAAATCCAAATTGTGAGTTACTTAGTCTCTCTTTCGCTCTCTAAACTGTTGTATCACTGTTTCTTATTTTAGACTATCAACCAGTGGAGAGGCACGGGCATACTACTGTACAGGTAGGAGACTACCTGTACATGTGGGGTGGAAACCAGCCTGGCCTCCCTGAAGTACATGATAGTGAAGAGAAGAAATCAATCTGTTCTGTAGTGGAAGTGTGTAACTTAGCCACTGGTATGTGGGTACAAAAGCCTACCACTGGCACCCCTCCACTTGGTGTTGATGGCTATTCTGCAGCTGTCATTAGAAATGAAATATATTTCTTTGGAGGACTGTGTCATCATGATAAATGTTATCACAATAGTTTGTACAGGTACACACATTTAAGGGCGAGAGTTGTATTTGACTATTCATCCGTCATAATTTAATTTGCAAATTAATTTATAAGGATTAAGGATTTGTAAATGTATATGTGTTGCAAAAATTCCATGCATAGATACAGAATGTATGCTACCCATAAATGAGATTGGAAACTATTCATTTGATTCAATATTGCTAGGTGAGTTAGGGACGGTGTTGTTCAATTCTTAGCACACCATTAGCAAAGCTTTGTAAAACTCTAGCTACTGCATTTTAGGATGATGAAACAGCCAAGTTTTATTTCTATATAGACACTTTTTAAGAGCCTTCAGTGCACCATGATGTTCATTTTTGTCTGTATTGGATATTTTGTGAATAATGGCATCCTGGGCAACCTGGAAAAAAAGTTTTTTGGCTAAAAAGCTCTATACTAGTAAATATTATCTACAATAAATGCCACGTTGTACTGAAGGCTTTAAGAAGCATCTATAGAAGTAAAAATTTGCCTGTTTCATTCTGAAATACAGCTGCTTGATTCCCATGGTTGGCTAAGATTTGGTGGCGATATGCCCCAACTTGCCTTGCAGTATTAACCATTGAAGTTTCCAATCCCATTTATAGTATAATTTCTGCATGTCATTACCTATTAATTCCTTACCAATGGATATTTTCTGTTGTATTATTATAATATTTAATATTTTATATAGTTTTAATGTTGACACCTTAAATTGGAAAGAGCTCTCTCCTACTACATCTCATGGTGGCCCTATGATGAAAGCTCAATCCGGTATGATACCGCTCCATCTTAACGGTGAGGACTATCTTGCAGTAATTGGTGGACGTAGACAATCTTCTGTTAATACTCCACTACAACCTGGTGCTGAATATATTGATTGTATTTACTTCAGATGTAATGAGATTCATTTATATAAAATATCTTCAGGTCAGTTATGTGTATATTTTTAGTTGTGTTTATATGTGCATGTGTGTATGTTAATCAGAGTTTCCCACAGGATTTTGGCATAGTGCTTAGCTTCTTGTCAATGTATTTTTAAAGTTGCTTTAATATTTAGACGAAAACCCTGTATTAAACATAAAAATTTAAAAAAAAGATTGATTAGGGAAAATCCTACTCTTAATTGTGACGCAAATTCTACTCTACATTGTACTTTTAATGATTATATGTAAGAATTGCGGATCATCTTGCAATGTAGAGTAGAATTTGCGTCACAAGAGTAGGATTTTCATTTTGTATTTCTGTTGGTGGTTTGGAATCCTACTTGCTCTTGTTTCCATTACTTACTACAAATTTGCTCCAGAATCCTACTCAGTCATATTTTTTTAATTTTTTATGTTCTTGTTTGTGTTAATTTTTTATGATATTTATAAATTTCTTCAGTTGCAATTGTGATACTTGTTGATTTTACACAAACAATAATTATCTTTATTATTGTTATCATTGCTATGACTTTACAGCATTTATGAGAGTTTTGCCAAAAATATCTAGGAGAGAATCCTCCCTTTTAATTGTATTTTTGATGCATGTACTTGAACTTATGTTGCATAAAAATTCTGAGCTGATTTTGATCAAGATTGGATTTTATATGAATTTTTAATGTTGCTGTAAAATCTTGCCAAAGGCTGTGTAGTACATAGTCTTACAACTAAGAGAGAGTTTCCCATTTTTATAATTTTTGAAGCATAATTATGTTGGGATAACTCTAGACTTTAATGTACATGTACTGTGTATGGTTTCTACTTGTGTTATTACTGTAACCACATTAATTACTGCTGATACATGCACATTATTATGTAATGTTGTAACTAAGAACTTTCTAGACTCTGGTTTTATGTATATTTATCATGCTTCCTATTGATTTTTGTCAGTTGTTCAGTAGTAGTTCAGTAGTTGCTTAGTAGTTGTTGTTGTTCTCAGTATTAATGATCTAACAAATTATACACATGTACATGTTTTTATGTTGTGTAGAAATTTTGAGCTAATTCATTATTGGTTTTTATAAATTTAAAAGTTGCTCAAAAAATTAATTTGACAAAGTACCCAATACTGATTGTACATGGTCTTGTGCCAAAGTTTGCCAAAAATGAATATGAGAGATTTCCCCATTTTAATTATATTTTCTGATGCATAGCTGCATGATTCTGATTAAGATTGAGTTTTTTTATGAATTTTAAAAGCTGCTCCAAAAGCCATGTACTGTACAATTGTATTTAGCATGATTTGTGGGAAACTGTGATGTTAGTATAATGATGATGTGTGCAATGTTTTCATTCTGTGTACTACAGTATATACATGTACATGTGCATGTATCATTTATAATTCAGGTGAATGGATCTCTCCAACCATTACTGGAGATAGACCACCTCCTATTAGTGCCTTCACTTTAACATCAATAACTAACAACAGTGCTATACTGTTTGGTGGTTACACTGCTGATGGAACAAGTGACAAACTGTACATTATTGAATTTAGCAGGATGTCAGTGGTGAGTACTTTTATAGTAAACAATAATTATTTAAAATCCCATACATGTACAATATATTCTAGTATGGGCGGTGTTGCTTATAATCATTAATTTTATTATTCTTTCAGGATATATCAGAAATATCTAATCCAGGAGGATCAGTAGAATGGCCTGAGGGGAGATGTGCTCATACCAGTGTATTGATTAATGGTACTTCAGGACCACACTTACTAGTGGTGGGTGGATATTTTGCCTATGATTCTTGGATATATAATATAAACAAGAGGATTTGGAAGCAACTGGTAAGCTTATAATTACTATCAAGCATGACAGTTATGTATTTAAAATATACTGCAATTGTCATCATTATAGTTTTGTATGGGGCTTCCCTTAGCCCTACTAGTAGACTGAATGAAAGTCTTGTGTGTATGTCTTCTGGCTAGTGTATATTTTTTTCGTTGAAAGTGTGGTTGTGTATTATCAGGGATGGGCTCTTGAAATACATTGAGTAGTGACTAGTGTGCAAGATATAGTGGAGCCCATTAAATTTTTACAATTTTGTTTTATTTTTTGTTTTTAGTATGTACCATTAACTGTCAGTGAAAGATGTCATCATTCTTTCTCGATGTGGAATGTGACACCAACCATTAACTGGGCAATAGAATTTGGTGGTTGCAGAGTTGGCAGTGGCTGGTTACAAATCAGTGATATGATAGTTATTGAATTGAGTAAGTAATATTTGCAATAACAGGTACTCTCTCATGCATCAACAGTTGATATGGCAACAAGCACACACTCTGAATATAATAATTGTGTTGTTAATTATTGTGTTACTGTATAGGATATGCTGCTAATAATGATTGGTTTACTAGTATAATACCTCTGGACCAATATCAATGGAAACTACAAGAAAAGAGAAGAGAATTGGAAGCATTTCAACCTGTTCAACCTGAGGATAGAAGAGAAATAGTGCATCTAATGGATGTACTGCAAGAAAGGGCAAGAGAACTACAGGAACAAATTCAACTTCAATCAAGAGTAAGGGAATATCAGGAAAGAGAGCGACAGCTTCGACAGCAGTTAGAAGATGCCCAGCAAAGAGAGCAAAATTTTCAGGAGCAGTTTCGAGAGCAAGACCAGCTACTTCAAGAAAGAGAGAGGCAAATCCAAGAGGGCAGGGAGATAGAACAGGATCTTCAGCAACAGCTTCAACAAGTTCAAGAAAGAGAGAGAGGCCTAGAGCAACAACTAAGAGAGAGAGATAGACAAGAGAGAGAATCTTCTTGGGTAGTTAGCAGAAACGATATTAGAATGACAGAAAGGATTCTAGGCAGAGGAGGATGGGGAGAGGTCAGAGTAGCTCGTTTCCATGGACTGCAAGTTGCTGCAAAGGTACTTCATGAGGCCATTATATCAGAATATAACATATCACTGTTCTCTCGTGAAATGAATATTGCTTCTAAAATACGTCATCCTAACCTCCTTCAATTCATAGGAGCCACTACAGAGGGTAATCCAATCATCTTGACAGAGCTAATGCCGACCAGCCTAAGAAAGGAATTAGAAACTGGAGGACTGGCCTATCCTGCCATACTGAGCATCAGTTTAGATGTAGCCTGTGCTCTCAATTACCTTCATCTCTTTAAGCCTCATCCTATATTACACAGAAATGTCAGCAGTGCTAATGTACTCCTACAACCAATGGGAGTTGAATGGAGGGCTAAAGTATCAGACTATGGATCAGCTAATCTTCAACCTCTCATTGGCAGGACCACTAATTCTGTCTATTCAGCACCTGAAGCAGCCAATCCAAGGGAACACTCTCCTTCAATGGATGTCTTCAGTTATGGTGTCCTCCTTCTAGAGATGATAACACGACGTATTCCTCTACCAGAAGAGAGAGTAGGTCTTATTGATGGTATTAGAAGAGCTTCATTTAGGTCTCTTGTCCAGCGTTGCCTGATAGTTGAGTATAGACGCCGTCCAACAATGAGTGTTATTATAACTGAACTAAATGAAACCATTTATTGATTAAATTCTAATAGTTTTGTTTTAGTTTTTAGCTATAGCAGGATATTCTTCTCATTGTATTTTGAGATTATGATTATTATTATTTTTAGTTTTTGAAATAGACTATACATGTAAAATTGTGTAACTATTTTAGTTCTAATAATTATTATTATACCCATGAACCAAACCTACTCCTATGATGCCACAAAGTTTCAAGTCCATGCATTCATTGATTATAATTCGTGATCCCTCTACAGGGGGGAAAATGAGTAGGCAGGTGGGCCTGAGAATGGCTCGCCTAATTAGAATATGTTGTTTATGGATATGGCCTCAGAAATGTACTCTACTGGTGATCTTGACAGAGTTGCATCAGCTCTTAGATTGTTTGTACCTGATGGACACTAGCTGTCATAATTATGTTCAGTCATTCTCTAAAAACATAGGACATGCTATGAACACAATGATTATAATAATGTGTGTATGTTGAAGAGGTAGATGTACTTATGCTGTGTAAAAAGTATAAGGTGAATCCAAAATCCAATATTGATCGGAACCTGCTTAAACTTTCTACACATGCAACATAAATAACATTTAGCCTGCACTAGGCCATTTTCAACTACTTCTACTATTACTATTCTCCCATGTCTGACCATTATTAGAATATCATGTACAAAATTATGTATGTGTACATAGTACAATGAAGTTCCTTTACCCGTTTGTCTACTGTGGTGATGATTCTTATTGTGATAAAGAAGTACACGGTTGCATGGACACACATCACACAATATGAGAGTGTCAAAGATCGCTTTGACTTTTAAAAGAATTTATTACAATAAACAAGTGGAGAACAACAAAACACCAACTCTCAACTCTATTTATACAAAAGATAAGGTTCCAGAAACTTCTGGACACATACAAATACATGAAGGTTACACAGTCTCCTGGAGGGTTCCAGAAAGTACAATAATACAATACAGAGATAATACACATTTTCTAGAATGTTCCAGTCAGTAAAATAGTACAATACAATTAGAGTAAAATAATAATAATTAATACATAGACATAGGTCCTTTACAGAGAGCTTTAGTCTCACCATCATTGTGATTATCACACAGTGGCTGCAGAGGGAGAGAAGGGAAGAATGATGGAGAGATGGAGCAAAAACTTAAATATAAAATCAGACTAAACATAATTGAAAAAATTCTTCCTTTTCCCTCATTTTTCACCTTTTACTTTTACATACATGTATATACATTGAGTTTTCACCTCCCCCTCCCTCTCTTTCTTTCTAGCTTTAGTTGTGGTTTTCCATCTTGTCCTAGCCATTATCCTGATGACAAAGCTTCAGCATGCATGTTCCTCATCAATGACACACAAAGCAGCAAGACACAACATAAACTATAGGAAGAAACAAAATAGAAAATAGCAATATAAGATTATAAAAGTATGATGTACAATGCATACTCTACATGCATTCTCCTACCTTATCTCTCTCCCTCACCATCCCTCTCCCTCCCTCCCTCCCTCTCTCCCTCCCTCCCTCTCTCTCTCTCTCTCTTTTCCCTCCCTCTTTCCCTCTCTTACTTTCCTCTCTCCCCTCTCCCTCTCTCTCTTTCTTACAGTATATGAGTACATTCCTGGATCAGCATTACGTGCTTCTTCATTAATTTTAGTTAAATGGAGGACAGCTTGTCCAATGGCTGACTTGACATAATCTTTCCAATGACCTTTCAGTACAGACTGTGAGGCAAAGAAATAATAACAATAATTAATTAATGGACAATTTATTAGTTACACATCTACTGTACATGTACAATATTAAAATGATGATATCAATATGGATCAGGGAGGTTATATATTATAAATACATACTTTCCAGGATACAAGCAGCACTTCCTCAATATCACAGTCTATATAATACATGTAGCTACCATATTCAGTAATTGATAATTAACCACACTCGTTAATAGATGTCAAAATTTCCACTTTATATGCTAAATAATTTGTATTAGTTAAAGCACGCGTGCTATATTTCCCATACAGCACAAGAAACTGTGCTTGAACTAGTTTATGGTCATAGTGCTTAAGTGCATCAAAGGCACTATCTGCTCATGGAATCTTCTCGTGCTGCTCTGCTTAGTTGGGGGTGGCCACAGTTACCGTGTAGCGGGTATATTTCGTCTGGAAAAATTTTTGTTCTAAGCAGGATTAGAAATTTTTGTTCGATTTATTTTCGTTCTGAGCAGCCATTTTGTACATGTGCATGGCATTGAGAAAACGCCTTTTTCATTTGGAAAATATTCGTTCCAAAAGGAATGAGAACGAAAAGAACAAAAGTAAACTCTGATGGAATATACCCACTATACAGGAAACCACAAATGTGCTGTATGGACTAGGGCTAAATAAACTATGCTTTTTTGCCTTATATGATTTTAGGCACAGCCCTAAATTCCGTCCTATTATGCTTTGAAATGAATCCACTTATGCTCATTATTATAGGCTCATATTTTAAGCTTTACTCAAATATCAACTATCAAGTTACTTGTACATGCATCCGGCTGTTAGAATTTTACTAAAACATTATGCTCCAAGTACGCCAGCATACTAACATAATTTGCTTAGCCCTAGTATGGACTACAAACTGTGCTGTATGGACTGGAGGTGTGCTGTATGAGATATACGGACAAAGCCTCTGATACACCCACACACTATACTATACTCAACAAATCTACAGTCCATACTAGCCAGTTACAATGGATCATGGTTTATTATTGCTTGTGTTAGTATTGCTGACAGTTTCTGCTGAAGAATC